AGTTTCAGATTTAATATAAATATTAAGTTTTTCAAATGTATAAAAGTAATTATAAAAGAAATAAAGTATGTATAGGAAAAATAAATTATGTGACTTCAAATTGATATGAGCTCAAAAAAACAATCTCATTCAAGCAACATGATTTATTTATCGTAAATTACTTGTGACAAAAATACGCTCTTTTTTATATGATGACCCATATATATTTACTTATTGATGAGTTAGAACGATGGAGCAATTGAGCAGTAGATAAAGAGTGATCTTTGGTCTAAACCAATTAAGAAATAATTATTACGTCATTAATTCTTTTTATTTATCATCTTATTAAGAAGATGACAGCACTTATCAGATATTAATTTTATTACCAGTTAAAGCAAATTAATGGCTTATTATTGATACATTTCAAGATATTTTCTAAGCTTTCTTTTCATAGGATTTCCCGTAAATATTAAAAGATCATTTATCTTTCTAAAATATAACAACTTGTCAAGACAAAAAATAATCTTTGAATGATAAGAGATTACTGTTAAAAGATAAAACAACTATGAACTTTGTTCTATCTGTCATATTGTATATATCTCTTAATGTCTACGCAATGCTTGTCTTGTCTCGGAAATATACAATCTCTTATCTCATAAGCTTATGCGAGTATTTTTCTAAAATGTATGCGTATATACGTTTTTATTCAATTCCTCACCCAAAAAGCGATATTAGTTTTATCTACCATCAAACGCATTTGTTTTTCTTTGGATCCAATCATTATCTTGTATCTTTGGTTCTACGTATTCTCTTCTTTCAAAGAGATCTTTTATATATCCTCTTGTAATGTAGATCTATTATTTTTCATCGAATATCAAAATCTCTCTTTCTTTTATTCTTCAAATAGTCTTAAAAGATCACTGGTTGCACATTTTTCCAGCTGCTTACAAATGGGATATTTAAAATTGTCATGTTTAGAATATTGAAATTAATGTTGTATTACTATTTTTATTTCATAACTGTCGTTGAACAGCTGACCCAAATTTTAGTTTACGACTACTAATCTTCAGCTCCGCCGCCTTGTAATTTTGAACTCAATCTAAAAGACAAGGATTAATGCCCCCAGAAGAATGATTTGTTATAGGAACATGGAGGACATTGTGACCCAACAGATTTAACGTGCATCGTAACCATTTACTACACGGGCAGTCATCGGCAGGCGCGGATCGGACCTATGACCTCTTGGACAGGGCCCCAATGCCCTATCAACCAGACTATACCGGCCTTGTATTACTGTTAGCAAAATTAGTAGTTAATATTATTAGTAGTATTAATAAAATTAGTAGTAGTATTTTATTTTTATTTTATAACCGTCGTTGAACAGCAGACCCAATTTTGGGTTTACGACTACTAATGTTCAACTCCGTAGCTTTGTAATTTTGAACCCAATCCAGTAAACAAAGGAACTCCTGGATCAAGTATTGGGAGAAATTTGCCTTCGTGGAGGACTAACCCGCATTTGCGTTACCCGGAGAGGAAAACCCCCCACTGTTAGCCTGGGTACTCTAACCCATGATCTGTCTACCACTGAGGACATTTTACGTCAGAACTGCGGTCGGTGCAAGCCGGATGCGGAATTCGTATCGACCAGCCATCTCTGGGATTCGAATCCGGCTCACCTCGTTGGAAGGCGAACGCTCATTCTCCTGAGTCATCGCGGCTCTTATTTGTAGTATTAGTAAAAATAAAAGGCAGTATTATTAGTAGTATTAATAAAATCAGTATTTAGTATAATTAGTAGAATTAATAGTTAGCATTATTAGAGTAATATTAGCAAAATTAGTATTTAGCATTATTAGAGTCATAGTCAAATTAGTACTTAGCATTATTTGTAGTATTAGTAAAATTAGTAGTTAATATAATTAGTAGCATTAGTAAAAATAGTAATTATGATAATTATTAGTAGTAAAATTATGTATCTAAAGTATCTATTTTATTTAAATTTGTCTGACAACAAGCACATTCTTTTCCCCTGATCCAACTATTATCATCTATCTCGAGCTATTCATTTCTTCTTGCAAAGGAACTTTCATATGTTTTCTTGAAATGTTGTTCTATTCTTTTTCATCAATTCACAATATTTATCTTTCTTTTATTCCTCAACTAGTTTTAAAAGATAATATTATACAGGTCGACATTTTTCCAATTGCTTACAAGTATTATATTTAAAATTACCATTTTTAGAATACTACAGTTAATGATGTATTAGTATTAGCAAAATTTGCAGTTAATATTATTAGCAATATTAGTAACATTAGTAGTTAATATTATTAATAGTATTAATAAAATAAGTAATTAGTACGATAATTATTATTACTGGTCTTAAATTTTTCAACTGCATACAAATAGGATATTTACAATTATTATCTTTAGAATATTAAAATTAATGTAGTATTGGTTTCAATAAAATTGGTAGTTTGCATTGTTAGTAGTATTCATAAAATTAGTAGTTAATATTATTAGTAGCTTTAGTAAAATTAGTAGTTAGTATTATTAGTAGCGTTAGTAAAATTAGTAGTTAGCATTAATAGTAGCGTTAGTAAAATTAGTAGTTAGTGTTAATAGTAGCGTTAGTAAAATTATTAGATAGTATTATTAGTGGCGTTAGTAGAATTAGTAGTTAGTATTATTAGTAGCGTTAGTAAAATTAGTAGTTAGCATTAATAGTAGCGCTAGTAAAATTAGTAGTTAGTGTTAATAGTAGCGTTAGTAGAATTATTAGATAGTATTATTAGTGGCGTTAGTAGAATTAGTAGTTAGTATTATTAGTAGCGTTAGTAAAATTAGTAGTTAGCATTAATAGTAGCGTTAATAAAATTAGTAGTTAGTTTAATAGTAGCGTTAGTAGAATTATTAGATAGTATTATTAGTGGCGTTAGTAGAATTAGTAGTTAGTATTATTAGTAGTATCAGTAAAATTAGTAATTAGTACGAGAATTGTTATTAGTAAAATCGATATTATTATAAGTAATTAATATTACTACAGGTAATCTAAATGTATCTTGTATCTTGAGCTACGTATTTTCTTTCTACAGCGTATCTTTTATGTATCCTCCTGTAATGTAAATCTATTCTTTTTCATCAGAATCACTCTTTCTTTTATTCTTCGAATAGCCTTAAAAGATTAAATAATACTGGACGTGCATTTTTCCTACTGTTTACAAAAAAGCTGTATGAAATTTTTGGTATTAGAATATTAAAATTTATATTCTTTCTTTGTCGAGAAGTCATTGTACTCCGTAAATCAGTTTTCCTTTTATTTTTCGAATAGAAACTCGAAGGTAAATTAGAGTGTCGTTTTAAGTCGTGTATCTTTACTCGCCACGGAAAAGTCATAACTTATTTTATATCCTCATAAATGATTGAATTGCCCACATCATAATTTACAAGTTTAATCGCGTAGTTACGAAGAAAAAAACAATACTTGTTTTTGAAAAAAATTTCCACAATGAAAATGCTTTGCTCATTTCTAAAAGAGTCATCTTTTATAAATTCTTTTCTTAAAACCTTTGTATGTAAATCTTTAGTGTATGTTTGTATTTTAAAATTCATTTTTAAAAAAAAACATGCGTTTGATTAATCTATGACATATGAGTCAAATACTTCTCAAACGCAATTTGTCGCCCTTATTTGGCATTTTGCCAATTTTTTCATTAAGATTAAATTATAAAATCATTTATAAATTTAAGCTATTTATGTACATAATGTACATTTGTGTACATGTACTGATGTGTTTATTGATTATGTGCATGTTATGTACAGGTACATAATGTAAATGTACATTTATGTACATAAATAGCTTAAATACTAAATAGCTTCTGTTTACAAAGGGTGTTTTTCGCTCACCGCCCTTGATGTTCATTTTTAGAAACCTACATAACGGAGATTGAAAAAACATTTTAATGTAAAACAATTTCATTAAACAAAGTACCCTTTTGTTCCATCAGACAAGCACTCTTCAGTTCCATCAGACAAACAGTCTAATTTTGATGTTTTCAATCCTACTTTCATTAATCTTGATCTCGATCGTAATTCGTCAGATTTCGGTGTCTTTTAATTAATATTAATTTGTGACATCAAATCTATGGATATTTTTATTTCTTTTTTTGCCAAAATTCATAAAAATACTTATTAAAGTTAGTGCTTACGAAACACCCTGTATAATTGAGAGTTTTCTAGTTTTTTATGCTTAGTTGTAGGTGGTCTACTACAACAGTTATTCTATTGTACTCCAAAATCCAAAAGAGGTAAGACCAAAGGAATTAAACCATGAGCGATACTGAAGGCGATAAGTCCATTTTTAAGTAACGAATAAAAAAAATTAATTATTCTACTGCTAGTTTTATTATCTTGTTCAGAGAAGATAATGTAGTAATAGGACATATGCATTGCATTATCAAGTCTTTGAAAGCGGAAATTAAAAGAAAGAAATTATGGTTACTTACCAATAAAAAGAAAGCAGTTTCATTAAATAATCTTTTCCAAAATAATTAAGAATAGAGCAATGGTTGTCATAATTCGGTTTTAAGACTTAACATGCTTTTAAATTGAAAGAAATTTAACTCGTTAATATATGAAAATCTGAATCTATTGATTTTAGATTTAATTCTGCATATAAGTCGCTGTTTTTGATCTGTTTACAAAGAAATTCGAAAACTGTACGTTAAGAAAGGTGTTTTGAAAACACCCTATAAGATTATTAATTTTACTTCATACATTATATATTTTAAGTATACATTTTTTAAGTATATATTTTTTAAGAATTATGCATCAACAATTACATATAATTTTATATTAAATTACTTATAATTTAAGTTTGAAAATAAATTTTCCTCAAACAGTGTCTCAGTTTAAAGTTTTATTCCGAGAACTGCTATATGATTGTTTATATTGTTATTAAGCTATTTTTTAATGTGTTATGCCATAAATCATGATTCTTAATTAAATTGACTTTTTTGCAGTGTGAAAAAAAACAATACCGAGCAAGTTAAAGCAGTAAACTTGTAAGTAAATTATTTGATTATCTGATCCATAAACAATTATGGATCAGGGATCCCGCTTAACAGTTAGAAGCACTAACTAGCTCGATAGCATAGCTTTTACTAGTTTTTATTTGCCTTATAATCATATATGAGCATGCTTTGCTTAGCTTTGCTTATTGTTTGTTACTGTAATATAAAATATGGTAAAAAATTAGTATTCAGAATTTTTTTCGTTTCTTTTTTTTTTAACTTCGTTTTTTTTTTTAAAAATTCTCTCAGCCTGCACTGAAAAAAAAGAGTATAGTCAAAACTACCAAAATATGGTAAAATTTTCCATGTTTCTGGTTCTATGGGAACACCAAAAAGCTTGGTTATTTTTTCCGCAGTGCTTTGGAAATGATTTTCGTAAAATTAGCAATAAAATACGGTTTTATAATATGTGATAAAATTCGCTTATTGAGGTAAAGTTTGATAATTTTATCATGATCCCTTAAAGCATGGCATAAAAATCCCATATTCGGTTAAGTTTACTTTACATTTTGTCTTTTTTACTAAATGTGTGGCAATAAGATCTATAATTTTTAAAACCAGAATTTCCGGTAAACCGTTACAGTGTAAACAGAAAAATTACCAAATAAATGGTTTAAATATGGTATATTTTGATTTTATTATCACAATTATGTTTCTGTTTTACTAAAAATGTCGTTACCATACGGTAAGGTAATTTTACCAGAATATTTTTCCGGATGATTCCGCTTAGTATTCTTTACTAAATATGTGTTAATAAGAGCTATAATTTTGAAAACCGTAATTTCCGGTAAGCACTACCATATGAGCGGAAAATTACCAAATGAATGGCTTAAATACCATATATTTTGGTTTTATTAACCAGAGTTATATTTTTTCGTTACCCGAAATTTCCTTACCATGCAGCACGGTAATTTTACCAGAATTTTTTTCTCCCAATGGATTCCGAAAAATTGAGCCTATTTTCACTTGTATGTAATATGAATTTCTCAAAAGTATATGCTTTTTCAAAAATAGAAACTAGTTAAAAAACCATCATTATACAAAGTCAAAAGTTTAAAATGAAATAAAAACTGTTGAAAGGCACCTTTAGTGCTATAAGAAGACACAGAATGAAGCATGATGACTCACTAATAAAGAAGCAATTTCGAAAAATGTTGGAAAGATCGAGTTTCGTTAAGAAAAATCATACGATTTCGTTAAAATATAATTATCAAGAATAACGAAATACTGCTGCAATATTACTGCAAAGATTGAATCTGAAATAAAATCGGTTATTAGTATTACTAAAAATAAGTTAAACAAATTCTTAAGAGAAAAGGCTTAAGATAAATTAGTTGAAAATTACATACGCTATACATACTTCTATTTCTGGCGTTCGAATCGAAAGATCTTAATAAGTTCTGTAAGGTTAAAAATGGATTATTAAAAGGCTTAGACTCATATAATAATATCCCACATAAATTGTTAACGAAAATGTCCTTAATGAAACAATTTAAAGATTTCGAAGTAGGCAATATGATGTTTTGTGGTATAATGATGCCATAAATATCACCTTCGGAAAAAAAGTAGTTTTATTTCATTTCTCTGCGTCCATCTACTATTGAGCAATTGAAAATTTTTTAAACTAATTTCATATTTGTTGCTAATTAAAACTCGATAAACGTTACTGGAATTTAAATATGCCTTTCTATTTATCAATCCTAACAAAAATCTTAAACGATATGAGTTTCATAAAGAAATAATATTTGAGATATTTAATATTCAAAATCTGAAATTTTTCATTAAATTTTTCTGGAAGAAACTTGCTAAAATTCAGATGTGCCATGCTTTCCAATCATTTCAAACAAAAGTTGAGGAACAAATTTGAATTTTAGAAATCGAGAGTTTATGACATACTCAGCAATGAAAATCTAAAATAATTTCAAGTTTAGTATTCAATTAATCCTATAGATTTTGCTGAACTTTTGATGTGCAGTATTACTTTTTCTCATTCAGAACAAAAGCATAAATAGTGAGCATGAGTTTTATAAATCAATAGTTTATTTAGATACTAATTATTTAGATACTAATTATTTAGATACTAATAATTAATAGTTTATTTAGATGCATTAAAAAATGACGTTAATCCCTATAGATTATAATAATTTCTATATATTATGTTTTGTTGTTTTTGTATAAAGGCTCTATGGATAATAAGGCTTTATAGGTTAAGGTGTTAAGGAGTATTACTGTTCACCAATGCAGACTCACAAATTTTCTGATTTACGTACTTATTGAGTTTTTTATTAAAAGTACAGAGCGTTTGTATACTTCTCTCTCCCTACGGTATTATAAGAGTCACTTTACAATCAGGCTGACCATGGCAGATTTTGAGATTTTTTTATTTATTCGAAGATATTGTTACTTAAAAAAATCATTTACGAAGGTGCGAATTTTCCAATACTTGAATTAAGAGCTACCCTGTTTTGTGATTGGTTTGGTTATTAACGTAGCATTAAGCAGCACTTATAAGCTATTGGCGACGGTCTAGGAAACGTTCTTAAGGGAGTTCTTAAAAAAAAATTTAAAAAACCACAATTTAAGCGTCTTTCCCTCGAGGCAAGGTTAAAATTTTAACTATTCAAAACATCGTGTCGTAAATCATTATCTGACCTTCAGAATAATCAAATAGTTTAAATATTTTAAAAACTACAAAAGATTTTTTTAAAAATAAGTTGGTGATTTGGCGATATTTTTTTACGTAGAGGAAAATCATACAATCACTGAATATTTTTATGAGCCAAGTTGCGTGGAGTGACTTTTTAAAGATTAAAATTATGGTATTACAAACGTTATTTATTTTCACTAAACTGAGGCTTTTCTTCATGTTGTCATTTTTACCCTATTACCAGAATTAGCATTGAGGGCGCTACTTAAAGATACATAACAATTAACCGAACACACATGAATTACTATTACATAGTGTATTATAAATAGTATTTATAAAAAATTGCTATTATTTATAAAATAGCATATTATTCATAAAAAAAGAATTTTTCATGAGATTGCAGAACCAAAGAAAATAATAGCGCATACGCGAACAACACTACCACAATTTTGGTCAAAGAGCAGATTTTGGTAATGATCCCCTGTCCTCCGCACCATTCTCCCCAACCGTACAACTATGCGCTGACCTTTCAGGCTCTGAAACAAGCGGAGACATTACATTAGAGTTGATCCTTTCCCACTAGGGCGTGATCGGAGTTCAATTAAACACACAGCCTTTAAAACGGTAAATTGAACCCCAACCAAAACCGTGGTAGGCGAAGATTGAAACCACCACACTAAGTGGATGTCCCTCGTTTTCTGAATTAGGTTTAAAATTACCGGATAGCGAAATTGGACATATATTTCCTTACACACCTTAGGTAGATTGGGTGTTTGTAGATTATGATAAAATAAAATAAAAATTTAAATAAAAAGAACTACATATACCAATATCAAAAACTTTTTTAGAAATTTAATTGCTTTTATATTGTTTAGACATAAATAAGAATAGCAAGAAAAGTATTTTCCGCTTCAATAATAAAACTTTCTAATAATAAACTACTCGTGCATTGAAATATTAATGAGTAAAATTAAATTGTAATTGGTCTGAAACTACTTCAGCATTTTATTGTGCCATAAACTATCGCTTTCATTTTACTCGATTTAGCTCATAAAAGTTTGTATTTATTCATTCTATCCTGAGTTTTGAAAGTGCTATTGTCATTGTAGACGTTTTCTCATCCTTTGAAAATAAAATTTTAAAGAAGGCAGTTAGAAAATAGTTGCTTTAAATTGTTATTTCCTTTAAAAGTTTAAACTTAAAGCTTTCATTCTTCGATAATTTTGGTGAATATTGTTATAAGTGCTTTAAGTTTAAACAATAGCTAAACATCTTGTTCAAACACAATAATTCACATAAAGTTTAACTTTAAAAAGCACTTAGTCTAATTTATATGTACATAAATTTCATAAATTAACTTTAAAAAGGAATTCATATAATAACTATATTCATGTGAACTATTCAGTTTTCTTTTTTGACTATGAATTCCAGCTTTCAATAAGCCAAGAAAATGTCAAAAATGGTTTAAATGTATATGCATTATTCACAACTTTTGTGCTAATAAAAATTTGCATTTTTAACATATTCTGTATATGTGTGCATTACATCAAGTATGTTGCATGATACCGTCCTCCGGGGTTACTTAGAACACCAGGGTAACTTAGACTTCTTGCAGGATAAATTTCAGACGCTGATTTTAACAACACGATTTTGAGTTTGATAGTTAATTTTCATGCTATAAGTTCCTTGTTACAGTTAAGATATAGATCACATATTTTAGTACATATTACAGATATAGATCACACATGAAAAGCTTTTATGCTAATAATAATTTACATCTTATGCATATTCTGTATATGTGTGCATTACATCAAGTATGTTGCATGATACCGTCGTCCTCTGGGGTTACTTAGAACACCAGGGTAACTTAGACTTCTTGAAGGGTAAATTTCAGACGTTAATTTTAACAACACTATTTTGAGTTTGATAGCTAATTTTAACGCTTTAAGTTCCTTGTTACAGTTAAGATATAGATTACTGATTTTAGAGCAGCGTGTGTATTTTAAAGTTAAGTTTTAAAGTGTATTAAACCCTTTCTGGTACTTAAGAGACTTCATGATAAATTTATACGTTTCAAAACTTTAAGCATTAAACTTATGCGTATTAAACAAAATATGCAATATGATACCTAATCTGGGGTTACTTGGTCAACCAGAGAACTTAGACTTCCTGCTTGATAGATTTCAAACACAGGTTTTAACAGTACTGTTTTGAATTTGATTATCAAATTATTTTGAATTTGATTTGATTGATTATTGGATATAGTTATAATATTTCAATATTGTGTGTGTGTTTAAAAATCAGTTTATAAAACTTTTCTTCTATTCAAGAGAATTTCCTCATA